ATTATTTCGAATTTTCTTACATAAGTTTACGTAATTTTGATATTTTGCATTAATTCGAAATAGTTTATGCAATATTACGCTTTTTTTATGTTTCGTAAATTATTTCGAAATATTTCACCTCATTAAATTTGCTGATGTTAGTTACTATGATTAATCCAGATCTAAATGCATCTCTTCCTAATCACTACCCATGCCAAAAATGTAATGAAGAATTATGCAATGATTTACAGGATTATATTGAGCTTGTTAACAAACTACAATAGTATATATGCTGTAGTTTATCATATTGTTTTCGCATAAATAAGGAGAGTCAACAGCAATGTCGATTTGGATATCCTAAAGACAATATAGATCATACCTTTATCTATAACAATAACTGTCAGCCAGAACTCCTCACAGCACAAAATAACTCTTATATTAATCCGCATAACCGTCATTAGCTTCAAGAATAGCATGCAAATTTTGACTTAAAACCTATTTTAAACATTCATACCATTCTACAATATGTTGCTAAATATGCAAGTAAATTGGAGCCACATTCTGCAACCTTCTCAGATTTATTGACTATAATTCTTCATAATAGTAATCTTTTAGATTCATCTCTTAGTGCTTTCAGCAACTATTGCTCTCTACAGTTGCAAAACGTAACATATCTGCACAGAAAACATGTCATCTCCTTCTTGGTATTCTATTTTATCATTCAAGTCATCATTTTGTCACATTAAATCTTAACAAAAAAGCACTTCAATGGCTTTGTGGTACCAGAAATAACGATTTTGTGACAGTAGGCCAAGTTGGACAAACAGAACAATCTCCTTTGCAATGATATTGAAACAGGTTATCTGAGCTTGAGGATTTCTCACTATTTCAACTTTATCTGGAATATAGATTTTGTAAAAGTAATTAGAAAAAATGTGAACTTGAAAATATTGTATATATTTGGCCAAGGCCGTCACCATACCGAAATGGTCCTCAATAGGAAGAGTTCTGCTGTATAAAAGTTTTACTTCATGTTTCCCACAGAAGCTTTAAACAGATAACTGAAAACAACACTCTTTCATGGCCCAAACTCTTTAATCGAAATTTTATTGAGGTAGAAAGTGAACTTAATAATGTGCTTGGTCCTTCTGTTGACAATTTAGAAGAATTGGTTTGTGAGAATAAAAATGAACAATTAAAATCTAATAAAAATGAAGAAGATATTTGGTCTGATTGGATGATTTTAGCTGAAATAGACCCGAATAAAATTATAGATAGTTCTTCTGGTCTAGGGCAAAGTACTACTGATCAAAATTATGACTGGGCTAGAGATATTATCCAAATCTTAACAGTGTTGATATAGAAGCATTTATACAACAAGTTTGTAGCAATGAAGCTATTTATGATAAAAATTTAAGCACAATTAGTATAGATTACCAAACTTTGAATGAAAATCAAATAAAAATATTTAAGCGACTTGAGTCGCACTATAGCAACATTTTTACAAATAGCAATACTAAGCCACTAAGAGTAATTATAATGAGAACTGTGAGAACTGGCAAGTCATATTTGATTAATGCAATTCGGCAACTACTTCTAGGGATAGCAAAGAGCAGTGGCATTAAAAACACACCTGTAATTGTGCTTGCTCCAACTGGAGTATCAGCATTTAATATTCATAGGACAACAATTCATTCAGCACTTTCCATCCCAATAAGTGGTAATAACTTTGATTTAAAAGGTGAAAATTTAAAGCAGCTACAAAAAAAATTAAGTAGTATTAAGTATATAATAATTGACGAGAAAAGTATAGTTGGGTGTTGTATGCTTGCTTTAATTAACATGTAATTGCGTTAAGCCTTTTCAGAGAATCAGAATCAACCGTTTGGTGGTCGGTCAGTCATATTAGTTGGCGATTTTGGCCAACTTCTACTGGTGCTTGATCAGCCTATGTATGCACAAAATCTTAGTCATAATCCATTATCAAACGATGCCATTGCAGCATATATGCAGTTTCAGGAGGTTTATTGACTTGAGGTTGTTCAGCGCCAAGCAGGAAATTTAGAAGAACAACTTTAAGTTAGAAATATTTTAATGTGACTACGTGATGGTGAATCTACTATTGAAGATTGGAAAGTACTTGGCACATGGTTTAAAGATTCACCAAGTATAATGCAAATAGATAGTAACCAGTTCTCAAATACTACAGGTAGGTGACAAAAATATTTCAACACCTAAGGACTAAGCTTATAACTCAAAAACTTACTAATTAACTTATGTCCTTGACTTGACTATATGAAACCTTATCTCTTGATGATTATG